ACTTATCAAAAATAATCCTAAAAAATTCTTGCAAATAATCTCTCCTAGAGTAGATATTCTAATCGCATTACATTACATGATGCTCAACTAACTCCGCTTTCGGATGAAGCTTCCGTGATTGCCTTCAATGCATATTTTGCCTCAGTTTTTACAAAATAAGATTGTTCCAATGTGCCATTTGCCCCTTATCAGCACTTCCCTTTCATGACTCCCATCACCGTCACTGCAGAAGGTATCGTGAACCTCATTATAAATCTTAACGTCTCTACTTCATCAGGCATATAGATAGCATTATAACTCTAAAATACTGAAGAACAATACTGATATTTTCAGTCCCTTTCTGTCTCTTATCTTTAACCAGTCTTTGTCATCTGGTGAGTTGCATAAGGAGTGGAAGATTGGCAAGGTAGTCTCCGTATTTAAGTCCGGTGACAGGCACTCACCCCGTAATTATCGACCCATTTCACTAACATGCATATCCTGCAAACTACTTGAACATATTATAGCTTCTCATATCTATGATCACCTTGAATAGAATAACTTCTTTTTCCCTATATAATCAGCATGGCTTTAGGAAAGGCTACTCATTGTTCGAATTTACTACTGACCTTCACTTTAAAATGAACAGACGTTCAAATGAATTGCCTCTTTCTTGATTTCGCCAAAGCTTTGATACTGTCTTTTATTGTCGTTTAATCTCTAAACCATCTTCTCACTGCATCGATTCATTAACACTGTCCTAGGTGTCAACTTCTTGTTATCTCGTCATCAATTTATGGTGGTTAACAGCACTTCATCTAACATTTGCAATGTCACATCTGGTGTTCTCCAGGGCAGTGTACTGGGCCCATTACTCTTATTAATATACATTAACGACTTGACTGATAACCTTTCATCCTCAATTAGGTTGTTTGTCTTCTCTCTGCATCGATTGATAACACTGTCCTGGGTACGCAACTTCTTGTCATCTCGTCATAAATTTATGGTGGTTAACAGCACTTCATCTAACATTTGGATGTCACATCTGGTGTTCCCCAGGGCAGTGTACTGGGCCCATTACTCTTTTTAATATAGATTAACGACTTGTCCGATAACCTTTCAACCTCAATTAGGTTGTTTGCGGATGATTGTGTCATCTTACTGCAATATTCAACGAAGTGAAAAAACAGCGCGTAACACAGGACACAGGACAGAGAAGAGACGGACGAGGCGCTCTTCTCTGTCCTGTGTCCTGTGTTACGCGCTGTTTTTTCACTTCGTTGACCATGTACCACCGGCCCAAATAAGCACTTTAGTGCAATATTCAATTTATTGGCGATCATTCTGCTCTTCAAAATTACCTTAATCTAACTTTCAGGTGGTGCGAAGCTTGACAGATGTCCCTTAACGCCACTAAATGCAAGTTAATCCTCGTTCACTAAAAGTGTACTAACTCGCCCTTTCTCTATACTATTGATAACACCATTGTTTAAGCCACACAATCGTATAAATATCTTGGTGTTCACCTTTCATCAGACTTATCTTAAAATATCCACATAGCAGCTGTCTCTTCAAAAGCCTCCCAGTCTCTCAGCTATCTGCGCAGAAATTTACGCAACACTCCTTCTAACATACGGCATTATCATATCTATCATATGTTCGTCCACAATTAGAGTATGCATCATCCCATGGTCACCGCATCAAGATTACTTAGTCCGTACCTTGGAAGCCATCCAGAATAGGGCAGCGAGATTCATAGCTGGTAACTACGAATTATAGGTGGTAACTACGAATTATTCAAGCATCACTCCAATAAACAAGACCTTGCATTAATGTCACTAGATCAACGCCGCGTAATCGTCTTTTTATGTTTATTTCATAGGTACAGTGTGTTCCACTGTTAAAGGGAACACTCAAATGATCATCGTCCACACTGCTGGCCCTCTAACAACCAGCGTATAAGGACACAATCTTAGTGCACGTCTTTAGTCATTCGAGAGGAGTCAAACCTGTCAACCACGGGTAGCCTTGTGCAAATCTAAGCGACTGTTATTCTGTAAGAGAGAGAAATCTAAACATGCTGAACACGCAAGTGATCGAGGCCTGACTTCAATGTTAAATACACATTATTCTCACATTATTTTGTCATTTTTGACATTATTTCGGGGTACAACAAGTTTGAAAGCTTGTTGTAAGCCTATAAGTATAGTCAGTTTTAGAATTAATATATTTACAAGTTATCGCTTGCATTCTACCAGAATTCAAATGCTGCTACTATTCGAAATTGTTACCCCTCTTTTGAGCCAAAAAAAACAAAAAGGCATTTGCACAGGTCTTCTTTCAATTAAAAAAATATTGTGGAGGTTAGTTGGGTCCTGATAAATATGATCGTTTTTTTTATATAACAAGTAATATATACTGTTCAAATTCGATTCGAAATTATTTAAACCAAATCGCTATTCACTTTGAATTCGCTTCAAAGCTGAAATTCTCTATTTGCATAAGCTTACTTTTTATAATATATTTCCTTCTTTTTCAGGCATAGTGCACTGCTAACAAGTTGTGAATGAGATACGAACATGTAGGCAACAAGAAGTCACCAAAAACTCACACTGTTGCAAAGTTTTGAGTACTCCTCCTTAAATAACACCTCCAAAGCACCTGTGTGTCACTCAAGCCAGTGAAAGTGCAGCTCCCTAGAGAGGGACGATGCGTGGCCTTCTGGTTGAAATTTGAATCACTTTTGTATGATGTAGCCATTTCATACTACTGACACCTACTGTACCTCATAGTGGTGCTACAATGGCAGTGAGCTAAACAAAGTACTTCCAACCAAATCTAGCAAATGCAACAGAATTTTTCATTGCACTAACAAACATAGACAAAGAAGAGAGAAGAAGACTGGACTTTCGCAGACTTAGAACTGCATGTTTAATGGGTGAAAGATGACATATGTGGCGGTTTTTTTTTTAGCCAAATGCAGACAGCGAAAGTGGCCTTAATTTCATGGGAGCGTAAAGTGTGTGTAAATATCTTTAACTTCTAAAACAATTTGAATCAAAATGGGGCCATTCCCGATTTTAACATGAACTAAAAAAAAAGGAAGTGTCTATTAAAGAATGAGCCAAATGCTGCTACTGTTTCAATCAAACTGAGCCACATTAATTAAACCAGCTATGCATCAACAATCGTGACCAAAACAACCAACATGGTCTAATCTAATCCATTTCATTTGTGTCCTAATTGCTTTGCTATTGTGTTTACGTCCCACAATTAACTTTTCTAGTGTGAGTTGGCATTTAATGAAGAACATGATGTTCTAAAACAACAGTAGGTTGAATTTGCTACTTATTTTTGCATCCTAAGTATTTCTTTTCGAGTATAGCCGTACAGCAGCATGACCTCCTTGCACTCCAACACAATATATGGAAAATAAAAGATATGAAATTTAGATATTGGGCACTGATCTATTCCTTAAAGAAAAAGAAGTGATCCAAATGGCATGGCATAAAATAGTCTTAGAAGAAGGGGAAGAGTTGGAGCAATTTTAGGGCCTTCAATAGACTCCAGGAACAAGAAAATGTTGTCGACCGTCCAGAACAGTGCACCTTTTGCCAGGAAAGACCACTCGCTCATCAAGTCTGGTCACCCCCACTGTGCCCATGCGACTAAGGATGGCACCGACTGAAGCACACAGATGTTAATTTTATTGGAATACATTGCTATACCGAACATTCAAGTTGTTTTAAGACTTCTATTACAAGCTAATCAAGCCCAAGTGAAATGTTCCAATCTATATAAAAGCTAAATACAAACTTTACGCCTCAAAACGCAGGATACTGCGCTATGTCAATTTTAGCCACAATATAGATTTGAGGTATTTAAGGGAGAGGAAAATAGGCAAAATATTGTTTGAGCAGACTCGACCACATTGTCAAAAGCAAAAAAGTGGGTTTTTCTCGGTTTCAATGCAAGTGTGTTTGGCCTTTTTAGAAAAAAGGAACACCACATATATATGATGAAAAACTGGGTGAAACAAGCTTATTGGCCATGCAAAACAAAGATACACTGCCAACACAATGTAGCATCTGAAAACTGCAGTTGACAATCATAGAGTGAACCAAAAGTTCACTTATACATTCACATGTAATGTTTTTGTCTAGCAAGCCTCAAATAGCTCCCAAGTGCAACGGTCCCTATGCCAGCAAAACAAGTAGTTTCATTCAGAAGCGGATGGCAAGTGTTCCTGTTTTCTTTTTTACACTCATTACAATGCTAGGCCACATGTGAATAACCATCTGAAGAGCAATTCTTAACAAGTTCTTTTAACCAAATAATGAATCGTCTTCCACTCAGTGTCACTCGCCAATTGTGAGCTGCAGTTCTTGTACACTACTTTATGATGGCAGCATATCATTTTTTTTAGAAAGCCAGTGAGCTTCTTTCATCCAGTTGTTTGGTGTATATGTCATCTTTCACCCATCTGAAACATTCATTTATAAGTCTGGGCACATACAGTCTTGTTCGCTCTCTTTTTGTTTGTGTTTGTTAGTACAGAATGTCAACCCACTAGCCCAACTTGATGCTCTACACACAAGCCAACTTTTCATTAAGTGACCATTACTACTCTACGAAACTCATTCACATGCAAGCATGCAGAAATGTGAAAAAATTATCTCTCCAAAAGCACACTCGGCATCATTCTACTGAATGCATGTGCACTTGCACTTGATGCATGACAGGTACTTTTGTCTTGCACAAGACATGGGCATGCATATGCAGAAGTTAACACAGTAAGTCAGCTAAGCTGTCGTGACTATTATTCATACAATTATTACATATCATGCATGTATTATAATCATAATTAGCAAAGCTCAAAAATAAAATAGCACCTATCCAACACTTATTCAAATGAAGTACAAACTCACAGGAGTCTATATTATGAACCAGACTTTCTTCAAATTCTTAGCTAAAATGAGGGCTATACAGGCTGAAAAAACAAGCAACTGGCACTCACCCACTCTAGCAGCCAATGCGGCCGGCCTGGGACCAGGCAGAGCGCGGCTGGCCGGGACGGCAGTGCTGGGTGGTGGGGAAGGCGGGGGAGTCAGTGGTGCACCCCGCAGACATGGTGGTCCATACACACTCATGCTTGGGTGCTCAATGAGTAGGTTCTCCAGAGGGGACGTCTCCAAGTGCACTGGCCGCCGTGCCACAAAGCACGGCGGAGGTGTCACATACCTGCACGTGCCCACACATATTGTGCTGACCTCGACTAGAGGGCTCCTGTTGAGCCCAGATAGCCCCAGATAGCCCCAGCTAGCTACTTAAGCCTCAACCTTAAATCTTGCACTATTTACCCCAGCATGTTGCGGATAGTTCAAACTCTGTCCCCTCTCTTGCAGACTGCTTGCTTAAGGTTGAATTTTATGCTGGTAAATGAAGTCTCTTACCAACTTCCGTCCATAGGACAGGGACTCGATGGTGGTGTAGCCTCCTGAGAAGAGTCCACCACAGCCACGTGCAAGGTAGTGGGAAGGCTGCGTGGTCGCTCACATGGTGCTTCCAATAGTGGACTATCCTCATCTGCACCAAGTCAACAAAAGCATATCCATCTTCGTGAGGAAAATTATGCTGCCAGAAAAAGCAATGGCGAACAATAAGATAACATTAAGCCCTGTTATATAGTAAACTACGGTTATTATCCAGACAAGGAAAATAAACAATGTGAGCCTAGCTGTTTTTAGAACAATGCTTTCGTCTCTAAGGATGTGCAGGAACTGATTCAACTTCATCTGTTGAAACCCAAAGGCTTATGGCATTTGAAAGTACAGTATTCTTATCTAAAGTACACAAGAGAATAATGAAAAACAGGATTAATAAAGTAACAACTGCACACATTTACCACGTCGAAAGAGCTATGTGTTTAGTGAATTCCTTTGTTTGTAGATATGGTCAATGGGAAGGCACAGTTTGACAAAAGGTACACCGAGTTTATTTACAATATTTACATAGGCACAAAAGTCACTTCCAAAATATATCATGAGGAGTCCATCAGAGAGGCTATCATTGTGTCCTTGTTAACTGGTCTTTTTCGTTTACTCCCCCACCCTGCCGAGCAGCACTCCTTTTCATTAGGATCCTTTTCCTGAATAGGCACATCACTTTCCCAGGAGGGGCCGAAAAGGCGGCATCGTTGAAACCACTAAATGGCTCTGTTGCCAACTCACCATCAACCAAATAAAAAACATACATACCAATAAC